CAAGAAAAGCAGCTCCATAACGACAAAACAAAGCTAGCAAACAAAACAAAGCAAAAAAAACCCATGAAAACCCCCCAACAAACAGGTAAACATGAGAAAGGCTTACTGTCACTTGATTCTACTGTTTCTCCCACTTGGTTGTGCTGCATAGTTCCCAGGCAACCGCCCTCCTGCTGCTGCCTGCCCCTGCCAGGCTGGTGGCAGGGAAGAGGGTATCARTTTGCAAAAAGAGACTGATCCTACTCCTCACAGACACAGCACAATCTTCCTTTATGGCAAACCTGAGCATATTAATTGAGTAAATGGCACCAGGAGGCAGAACCTGAATGTTCTCCCTTCTTCTGCCCACATGGATTTTTAATGGCTATTCAACTCCCGTTCGCACTATGGGACATCATGGCAATGGGAYGCAGGCAGCAGTGCCCTTTCTGCAGCCCTGGCTGGAGAAGTATTGAGGAGGAAAAGGCTCTCTGCTGCTTAGGAAGCTTGAGAGGGAGTCAGAAAGGGTCCTGGTCATGAAGGTCTTGTGTCCTTGGTCTTGCCTCTGGATCTAGACAGACCCTTTATGCACTCCAGATCAAAACCTGTTCATTTCACTGAATGTCCTCTAAAATCTCAAATGTTTCACACTCATCACCACCACCCAYTGTGCTAAAACTTTCCTGTGTACTCCCACTCACATCTCCCATCTTTCCAAGTCTAAGTAGCCCCTTGCTGTCAGACCATGCTTGATCACTCTGCTGTGACTGTCTGCCTCACTGTCTTCTGTCCTGCTACTCATTGCCAACTCCTGCTATCAGCAAGTGACTTTATGTTCATTAGATAACAGATGAAATTGTTACATTAATGGATTAAACARCTTCCTGCATTGCCCTAATCTGCATGAGCCTCTCCTGGACTTCTCACTGGCTCTTCTGAGGTTGGTCATTTGGCCTCCTCCTGGTGCTGTTCACACAAGCTGTATTGATGGCATTTTTAGACTCAAAATGCARTGCACTACTGACTCAGTTTCACATATGTTATCACTATGCAGTTACCTTTGTCAACCAAATGAACAGTCTCATCAAAGCACAAAAATCAGTTTTGTTTGACAAGTTTGCTCACAGATCCCATAAAACCAYGTCAGTGGCATTAATCATATCCTTTCACTTAGTTCTTTCTTGATTGATCCATGCAAACTTTCCTTTACTTTCCCAGGAACAAAGTCTAGCCTGCCTCTAATTACTGGACTCTGGGGTAAGATTAATACTATTCATTTTGCTCTGTTCTGTGCCTTTTATGTGCCCTGACCTCACCTTTGTCTGTCTGTCCCTGACCTGCCCTCCTTCACAGAGCAGCATGTTTTCTTTTGCCCTTGGAAAGATTTAGGGGAAGGTGTTGAGGTTTCTTCCTCTGCCTTGCAGAACACTGCAGAGCTATTGCATGGATCAAACTTTGGGTTTTGGGAAGGCAGAGGGCAAGAGAGGACTGTGGAGATCTGTACACCCACAYTAGCACCTCAACACCTCCACAATGTGTCAGACAGACAGCCCTGGTCACAGAATGGAACAGACTGCCCCAGAAAAGAGSGATGAGTGAGAAGGGCAAAGCAGAAGAATTCTCCTGCCCCTGCTTACGCTTCTCCAAACCTTTGTCCAAAGGGTTTAACAGCACTGCTATGATTGATGACAGCATAGCATCATCCTTTCAGTTGTTATCAGGAGTGAGGTTCAAATGATATTATTCCTCCTTACCTGCAGGCCTATTCCAAAGTCTGCTGGAGTCCTTTCATTAGCATCAATTAGCACCAGATCAGAGTTAATCCTTACATTTCCCTGGACTTGTAAAAATTGCTTACACTCCTCCTCTTCTTTTTTGGGATGCTCAGCATGGTCAGTGGGTCTCCCCTACAGAACAGCAGCAGCAGTTGCATTTACATTTCCAGAGGAGTTACAGCGTTTCTTTCCACTCACCAGGCTCCTTTCATGCAGGATGCAGCTTCAGAGTTGTTGGTGGGGTTCCTATCTACCAAGCCAGATTCTCTGATTGCAGAATTCACCAGAGGACTAAAATAGATTTTCTCCACAACGCCTGAAAGGAATCAGTGCTTATTCACCAGGAGACAGACTCAAGATCATACAGCTGTCCTGCCAGGGTAACCTGTCATGTAAGTCTGTGTAAAGAGCATATTTCAGGCTACAAAAAGCACAGGAGAAGCACACATAACACTCTACAGAGGGTAAATGCAGCAGAGTCAGTTTCAGATGAGGTTAGAGTATTCAGCAAAGYACTTCCAGTGCCATTTGCTGAGAAAATCTATTAATAAATGGAGACAAAGGCCATAATAAACTAAAGAKCAACTGCTTCACAGCTCAGAGAGTAAATACAGTGCCCTGGGCAAGGAAGAGAGATGGCTCAGTTACACAGAGCTCAGCACAGACCAGTTCAGACCATTGATAACTCTGCTTATCACAAAGAGAGAGATCACGATGATGGGAGAAAATAAAAAAAAAGGAGGAAGAAAAGTGAGAGAGAAGGAAGCCACAGAAAGCTGAGCTTTAAAGTAAGTGAGTGCATTGACCCATGACACTGTCTGCCTCTAGCTAGATGGCAAGCAGGCACATACCTTATAAAAAAAAATCTCTTAAAAACCCCAGATCCTTTCTCTGTAACCTTCACTTGTGGTAAAGTAAGACTATACGCGGTTCTGAAAAATTTTCCCCAAATTTTCATTAAACATAAGGTGTAAACTTCACGCAGCTTACTTCTGAGAGACTCCTTGTAAGTTACGCTTTTTCTGCAAAGCAGATCATTGGCTTCTCAAGCGTTTGCACATCGCTCAAAACCTTGAAGCATTTCTTGGTAAAAGCCTGGTCTCCTTTGAAAATTTTGAAAGTAGTAATGAGAAAAATCCAAAAGAGACACCCTTCTCTACTCAGGGTTTTTTTCTCATAGGGCTGAAATCAGGATGCTGCCTTTGAGGTGAAATTTACTGGGGAATGGGGAAAAGGTGGAAAAAAAACCCCACCAACAATTGAAACAGCTCCTCACCTTCCTCAGAAGTTTTATTCTTCATCTTCCTTACTGTAGCCAGGAGCATCTTAAGAGCAATGGATTTAAGAAGCCACAGACTCTCACTCCTATTTAAAGGAAGGGCAACTGAAATGGATAAATGGGACCCTATGACCTTTTGCCATCAGATTTTGCATTCAGGTAGTCCCATCCTTTTGCTATGAATCTCACAATCAATGATTCCAGCACTAGATGTGTCAGAGCTGTTAATATTTGATATCCAGCTGAGCTATTGTACATCCTCTGTGCGGGCACAGCGCTGTTCCCTGTGATCAAAAGCAAGCCCTGTGATCAAAGGTACGTGCTTGACTCCTTCTAGAGAAAAGCACCAGTGATATCCTTACTTGAGTGCTGAATGAATATTCTGTTCACTTTTGCTTTACCTCTAGTACCAACTATTCTTTTGACTGAAATCTGTGAGTACATTTATTTTGTGATTTTATGTGAATGATTCAGATCRTTCTCTGGATTCTTCCGCTACCTCTGTTTCAAGGTGCCTGGATTATAATGTCTCTTACAATGTTTCCCAGCTCTACAGGGTTTGGCTGGGAGTTGATGTCCTTCACAGCAGCTCATATAGTCCCAGGTTTTGGATTTGAGTCCAAAGCAGTGCTAAMGTGGAAGTGATTTAGCTGTTGCTGGGCATTGATTGCACAGGGTCAAGGCCTTCCCTGTTTCTCCCTCTGCAGCCCCAGCAAGTCASTTGGGGTGGGACAGCTGACCCCAGCTGACCAAAAGGATATTCCATAGCATAGAAGGTCATATTCAGCAATAAAAGGTGTAGACGGGGGAGATTCCAAGGTAATTGCTCAGTGACTGGATGAGATTCACTCGGTGGGAGGTGGTGAGTGACCTTGCATCACTTTGAGTTTTCTTCTTTACTTACTAAGCTTTCTTAATCTCAACTCAGCTTCCTTTCACTCCCCTGTCGATGAAACATCATCCATCTAGCACCAACCTACTTTGTGTCAAACGAATGTACAGCACCCWGCACGGCACCCTGGCCAAGACTGCTTTCCAGAGCCACTTAATTGCAGCTGAACAGCAGGAATAAGACAAGATTTSGAAATCATTTCACCTCGTGGTACTSACMGCWTGTGCCTTAMACTCACTCAGCCGRGCSGAGCCGAGCKGRGCCGAGCSGAGCCGAGCTGGGCCGAGCGGARCCGAGCKGRGCCGAGCYGRRCMGAGCCGAGCCGAACAGAGCCGAGCKGRGCCGAGCCGAGCCGAGCTGAGCCGAAAAAGCGGCGGGAAGGTGCGGGCGCCCTCTAGCGGCCGGAGGGTCTCTCCGCCACCTCAGGGCCGCCAGGCGCTCTGAGGTGYCGTGCCCGGAGGTTTCGCTGTCAGAGCCGGGAGGGAAACGCTTCCTTCCAGCACTCCCGTGGACTGCTGTGTGCACACCCCATTCGGACACCGCTGTTCCATAGGCTGCATGGAAAAATCTGGCGGCGAGAGGACCGGATTTGTCCAAGGGGTTGAGCGCACAGCATTCTCTCCCGATACTCCTCCCAGCAGCTCGGAACTTCTACAAATTTTCTCTTTCTCAAGGGGTTGAGCGTACGGCATTCTCCTCCGATACCCCGCCCAGCAGTAGAAACTCGGAATTTCTACAAGTTTTCTCTTTCTCATCGATTTTCTACACCTCTTCAACCCATCGCCTGCTTCCCGCTAGGCTGTATATAAGTCCCCTCGTACCTGCTCTCTCAAAGCATTTCCATCACCTTTAACCATCATTCCCGGTAATTCCAGACTCCCTCACATCTTGTCACGGGAGGCAGTGTGCCCAACCCTCGCCTACCTGCAAACAGCGYCATTCCCGATATTCTTTTAAAGTCTTAAAAAGCCTCAAACCCAGCCCTGTGGGGTTTGCTTTTCTTGTCATCCTCCAGAGCCCACAGCTGCTTCTCGCAAGCGGCGTCCCTGTCCCTGTGCCTCTGGGGTCAGAACCACACTGAGAGAAAGGAAAGGAGGCAAGGGACAGGCGAAGAAACGGGATCATGCAAAACAGGAGTCATTACAACAAAAAAAGAAGAGAAGAGGGTAGTCTGAACCCAGGGAAAGCAGGGGTAAGGAGGGAAATGTGACCACACCAACAGAGGAGAGCAGAGCTCCCGTGTCTGTGTCTCCACATCACAAAGAGCAGGGTACAGGACAAGCAAATAATCTGGAATATGCAGGTGAAGTGTGATTGAACCTTCATCGATCCTCCTGCAGTCTCCTTCCGGACCTCCCTCTGTTGTTTCTGTCATTCCTGCTCTGTAAACTCCTGAGGAAGCCTGTTGATGTCTGAAGGAGAGAGGCAGATCACAGATATTTGGGTATGGAAGAAACAACTTCAAGACAGCTGAAGTGAGCTTTTCTCCAGCACCCCAGCAGCACCGAGATGGAGCTCCAAACCCTGGTCATTGGAAGAGCAATTCAGTAGCAGCCTTGCTCTTTGTGGGAGCATGAATTATTCTCTGTGGTTTTCAGACCGGCTCGGACTCTCAAGAAGGGATCAGAATTTTCATCGCAGGGGTCCAGTCACAGAATTGTGAATTACAGTAAGTCCTTCTTTTAAACCGTACTTCTCTCCCTTTTTTTTTTTTTTTTCCCCTCTGTGACATTGCTACCAGTTTTAATTTGTTTTTTTACAAGCTTGGAATAAAGAAAGGGGAATCAAGTGGTTTCTTTGTGCTTAAAGAGTTCACACACCGGAGGCAATATGCTGTCCAAGCACAAATGGGAAGTGTTCTAGATGACTCCTGCACTTACAGCCTCCTGCACCCCATACCCACGAGTCTGGATGTGCCCAGAAAAGCTTGTGCACAAATGCAGCCTGGAGTTAAATGTGCTTAAGCTACATGGCAGTCCCTTTTCACTGGACTTTCTTACAGCATTACCACAGGGGTGACAAGTCTCCGCAGGAATAGAGTGCTGCTCGCTGGCTCGTGCTGGGTTCCCAAGGCTAGCAGTGCTGCTAGAGAAGCCTGGAACTGCTGCTTTGACAAATGGGTTTAAAAGTGGCTCAGGATCTGTGCAACGAGCTCCTCCTGTGGCTGCCTTTCTGTGAGCACCAGCCCCAAGCAGCAGAGCCTTTGATATACGGTGCAGTGCAGGGGCCTTTAAATAAAAGCCTTTATCGCTCATTATTTGCACAGCAACCTCGCAGGAGAAAACAGAAGGGAAAAAGCGCATTACAGGAAATGCTGATGCAGGCATGTTTGCCCTGGCCTGACCAGCAGAGTAAGAGAAGACATGAGAATTTACAAGCTGCAGATCCACTGCTCCAGCAGGRGTTTGCTGTAGAGATCCAACACACATGCACAGGTGATGGGAGGGCAGCAGCCTGTGTTTCGCAGCACAGGATTGTTCTCCCTCTCCCAGACTCCCATTTATTTATAGTTTAATTTTACATGAATGGCAAACAGCGGGGCAGAACTGCACKGTATGTCAGACAAGCTCTCCTCTTGTGTATAAATACAAATATAGGTGCCAAACTTTAAACTCCAGTGAATTAAAACATGGCCACTGCATTGGAAAGAAAAAGCAGCACATGCCAGGAACAGCAGCACCACTATGTACACACCACATCGATATGTCCCCCCACCTTCCCAAATTTAAGAGCCACACCCACCTAGAATAAATCCATTTGCATGAGGTAAACGCCGAAAGCATCAGTAGAAATTCCTTGTGGCCCAGGAAGAGCTGTATTTGCTGACGTTTGTTGGTGGCAATTTTTACCAGGTGCTTGGGATTGTGCTTTCCAGGTGCTGACATTTACTGCAGCTCCAGTAGGTTTGAGGAGACCCTTCCCAGCCTCTTATATGGTGGTTGAACCCCTCACTGTTTCCTCCCACAAGGCACTGCAGGCTCTGATAGAAGCAGCTCTGCTTAAACTGAGAAAACTGCTTTCCCCTCCTGGGAAAAAAGGGCCAGAAAGTACATASTCCAACTACAATGCATTTTTAATGTGTTTTGGTCTCAGACAACAGAGTGGCAAATATTTTTCACAGTTTTATTGGTAAGTTGTGCAAAAAGAATAAACAAATGAAGAAGACACCACAACACAACACGCACATGGAGAAACTCTGCACCAGTTGAACTACCTGTTCTGGATTTACAGCTGTAGTTGAGGTTAAATCATTCACTAATGTCTCTCATATTGTGACCCAGTAAACTCCTCRTTTCCTGTAGAGTACTTAACGCTGCAATTACCTGTTAGCTGTTTAATAGGACACATGATTTTAAATTAAACACTGACTTAATTGGTTTGCTGGACAGACACAGTTTTAATTGCTATTGCTCAGTTGGGTCTCAGCCAGTTTAAGGCAGCTGGGAGAAAGGGTCCATGACCTCCCTTAACAAAAGTTTCATATCCACCTAGAAATTCATTGCAACAGTTCCTGCAGTGCTCCCTGCTTATTCCGAGGAATCATGAGACAGAAGGCTGAAAAACCAAGGTGCCAGTATTCACTGATAAAACAAACTTCCCTTGTTAATTCCAGGTTTGCATCCTGGGACAATCCCCTCGCCCGGCAGTGCTGTGAGGGCCATCCGGCAGTTATCATGTTTGCAGAATCCATATGGCACACRCTGAACCCAAAGTGTGGCCCTGGACTGTGGGCAGCCCGTACAGCTCATGGAACCTCCCTCTGGCCATCCTTGAGAAGGGAGAAGCTGACCTAATGAGACAAATCCCAAGGGCTGGAAACCTGGTGAGCTGGTGCAGGCGTCACCATGTTAGGAAAGGTCAGCAACAAACCCAGGCCAGCCTTATTGTCCCTTTATTAAGCACTTGTGAGGAGCCATTGGCCTCCTCCAAGGTGACACTGTGATGTAACAGGAGACCCTTTGCAGATGCCTCCAGCTTGGTCCTGAGCAAACCTCCTGGTGAAAATCAGGCACGGCGAGTACTGCAATTGCCAGCACACGATGGTTTCAGCATTTTAAGAGCTATAGAAGCTGTTCAAAGATCAGCTAGGACTTTGCAAAGAGAGGAAAGGGAGCAAATGAATTGAGGGCTCAGRCTAAAAGAAAATCCAGACCTTTACCTGCAGCTGATGACCACACTCCATTCAGCACAGCGGGATATCGGAGGGAGCTCTTGGCAGAGCTGAACACAGCAGGTCTGAGCAGCCTTCTGTGCTTCAGTGAAGCATCTGAATGCAGATGCTTTTCTGCCCTAGGAGAAAACACATCTCACAAATCTAAATCTGATACCTTAACGAGAAAACTATTTATTATTAATGATATTATTAGTGCTTTTTTTCCCACAGACTGAGGAGATTAAATAATAGTATCTGAAAATGAACCAAATGTTCAGATCAAACTTTAACTAGCAAGAAGACAGAAAGAGACACAAACTTTGCAGTGACTTAAAACAGTTTAATGTAATTCCAAGACAAAGTGTGATTACATTTCTACACATATACAATATGCATATGTGAGTTGACAAATTCTGATTAATAACTCGTTTCACCTCAGAGACCGAAAAAATGATCAAAAAGAAACCGTGAATAACAAGCTATAACATAGTTCACCACAACGGGACCTCCTTTCTCACCCTACAGTTAGTAATATTACAATTAAAATAACTATATTCTTCTATAATGTATTTTCTGTTAAAATCATCTCATAAATTTACAATGCTATTATTAGTTTCCAAGACTAATATAAATTCACTCCATTTTTCTACAACGAAAATGATTATTAATTAGAAGCACACAACGTCATGATGAAAAACACAAGCTTTTTTTTTTTAGTAGCAAGAACTTGATTGGTTAAGAATTAGTTTTCTTGTAAAACATTCTAAAGCCAAGTAAAATATCCATTCTTATAACATACCTATAATATGAGACTAAGGAATAGGTTACATATAGGTCTACAACACATCAGTTTGTTTTTGTTTTTTCTTTTAAAAGAAGAAA